TGTATGAGAATATTGCTTCGGTCAATTTTACTTGTACAATTTATCAGTCCTCCCTGACTTTTTCAAATTAATTGCTTTGATGAAATAAGTATAAATACATTATTTGTTAGCTTTTGGAGTTTTTTTTTTTTTTTTAGAAATATGTTACAAAATTCAAATTTCCTTCTCTCTAATAATGGTTGTTAGTATTTTTACATGTATTACCATTTATAATTTGTACATTTTAAAATTAGGTCGTATTTCCATTTTGTAAATTTCTTCATTGTTATGTCTTACAAAACACTGTTCTTTTCCCTTGGTTAGCTTTTCATAAGTCACTTTTTGTCTCTTCTCAATTTATCAGTAGATTCAGTCAAACATTTGTTGTACTTTCTCTATGCTTTATCACCCCATCAAGCTCTAGAGTGAATAAAAAGAATAACAAGATACTTCCTCATCTGATTATCAGTTTTCGTTCATGTAACTACATGCCCTTTTCAATTTTAAACAAAATGAACTTTCTTTTTAGAATATTTCTGCTGTTGACAGTTCAGTGATTATGGGGCTTTCTTGTCCACTATGATGATAATTGACTTAAAAATTTTTGTTTATGAAGCACAATATAAAAATGTTGATCTGGATATTTAGAGATATCTGAAGTATAATTTGTCATCCCTTGAAGTATCCATGGGGGATTGGCTCCAGTACCCTTCTCTCAATAAGAAATGTTGTAGTATTTGCATATAACTTATGCCTATCTTCCCGTATATTTTAAATAATCTCTAGTTTACTTATAATACCTATGCAGTGTAAATGCTGTATAAATAATTATCACACTGTATTGTTTACAGAATAATGACAGGAAAAAAAGTCTGTACATGCTCATTACAGACGTAACTTTATTCTTTTCTAATATTTTTGATCCAAGGTTGATTGAATCAACAGATGTGGAACCCATGGATACAGAGAGCTAACTATAGTCATTCAATTTTGGTGATTCTAGATTTTATTAATTATATATTGAGAAGGTTATAGCAGATTTTCTTTTAACTATTACAGTCGTTTATGAGTAGTAAACAACTCTACTTTTGCGTTCAAGGCCATGCATTCAAATTATTTTGGCTGATTTACTCTGTGGAGATAAGCAATTTACTTAGTTTGATTTTAAGAGGGAAAACTCTGCAGTCTCTTTTCCCTCAAATTCTCCCATTGATACCATCAGCCTTTCTGCTGCATGGTAGAATTGTGATACAAACGAGAGGCAGCCTGGATGCTAAGGATTTTTCTTTCAGTCCTGGTTGTCACTGACGCACTGTGCAATATGTGAAGAGTCGCCTAACCCATCTGGAGAGCTCTTGAGTTTTGCAAAACAAGATGACTCTTGTTCTTTAACACTGGCCCATCCAGGAGGTTTTGCAATTTATGGTGTGGTATCTATAAAGAATGAAAAAGCTTCCTCAAAGATGGTGCTATTTGAGTATTCTAAATGGAGCTTTGCTGTTTGCTTTAAAAATAGTGCCTTGATGGCCATTAAATGTGTGCAGGTAAAACTAAATGGCCTGTTATGAGAGACTGTTCATTTCCCATTGGCACAAGGGTAAAATGTACTGCAACTGCTGTTTTCAGAGTCTAGAATCATCATGGCATTTTCCTTTGGGCGTAAGTTGTTACAGAATTAGACAGCTAAAACTTTTCCAGAATGTTGACTTTGAAATTGAGTATTCTACCTTTGATTCCTGCCCTCTGCTCCGTATGATTCTTAGTTGCTGCTAGGTACTTTGTGCGCACTTGTTGTGGTATGACTTGTAGTACCATATATGGGCCAGTACAGGCTGTACACCTCAGCAGAGGACATGTAAGAGGGGACAGCACATGCTTTCTGGCCTCAACTCCCCACGTCAGCCATGCTACCTTTCTCCTGAACAGGTGTGTCTTCATGACTTCTGATTAGCCTCTCATTTGCCTTCAGCTCCTAAAATGCTCATCTTCCTGCAATCTTTATCCAAACTTGCATCCTCATCCCTGAACCTTGCTGTCTACTTATATTTGTGCATGTCTTTCATTTTCTGGAGGTGAATCTTTCCCCAGGAGATTCGGATACACTACTGTATTGGGGAACAACTGAGTTAAAGGAAGGACCCCTTGCCAGAATACTTGTGTTAAAGGAAGGACCCCTTGCCAAAAACTATCTCAACTCTAGGTACTTTGAGTTGAGATAGTTATACTTAAGGCACCTTACAAACTACCATTGAACTCAGCCAAAGTATTTCTTGGGTTTAGCAATATCAAGAAATCCGTGACCCATCTAGATATGAGGGAAGGGGCTTGTTCATATGGTAGAACTATGAAGGATTACTGTAAGTTGCCGATAAGACTGGATTGAAGAACTTGCCAGCCAATTCATGAGTATGAGGAGGAACTACCAGTTTCTCTAGCATGTGTCTGATGATGCCAATAGTGGTGCCTTCCTTTCCCGCTTCCTGTGGGCCCTCTCATGGTTACTGGCCACCCATGCTACCTTATCATCTTGATGCATGTCTCCAAATGTTCTTTGTGTCTTTCATTCTTTTTTTGCCCCCCAATCTGTAAAAGTCTGACTTTGTCACATACTTGTCTGCATTGTACCTGCTGCCCCTTGATCTCTTCCATTCCCTCAGGCTCAGCCATGGCCTCTACGCTGGTGACTTCAGAGCTTCATGCCTCTCCAGTTTCCCAAATCTCCCTTTTGAGCTCTAGTTTCATATTTCATCCACATTCTTTATATTTCTACCTAGATGTCCCATGGTTTCTCAAAACATCACGTGTTCCTAAGGCCAGCAAGCTTCATCATGTCCTTCCCTAATGTCCTTATATCTGTTAATGTTATCATTCCTCTCCATGTCAGCCAAGTGCATGGTAAATGGTAAAGTGCACTTTTCCATTCATTCTTTTTTGTCATTTTATCTTCCTACCTCTCCCAGTTACCAGGTCCTAACAATTCTCTAATCAAAATATACCATTTTTACAACCCTTATTCACCGTGAATTAATGGTATGGCCTCTTAAAATGTTTATCTGCAAAACTCTCTGTCCCTCCAAGTCATAGTGTACATATACTTTCACTTATAGATTGCTTTCTTGCATTAGACTTTCAGTGACTCTCCACTGCCAACCAACCAAACTACAAACTCTTCACCTGGCTATTCTGCAATCTGGCAATTACCACCTTTCTTCCTGTTTTTTCAGTAAATACAGCTTTATGCCTAGTTAGCGATAGCCCCCAAAGTATAGCAGTGTACTACACAGACAAGGGTCCTGTCTTCATGGAGCCTGTATTTCAGTGAGGAGTCAGAGTGTAATAAGTGTAGTGAAGGAAATAAAAGGAGGATGTGAGTGAGGGAGTAACTGGGGAGGCCTACGTTAGATGAGGTGATCAGGAAGGTTCCCCTTAACAAGTAGTATTTCAGATCAGATCTGAAGGATGAGAAGGAGCCAGCCATGGAAAGAGGCAGAGGAAACAAAAGTACAAGAACGCAGGGACAAGAAAGAGCTTGGAATGCTCAAAGAAAAGAAGAATTCTCATGAATGGAGAATGGTGAGTGAGCTAAAGAGAGGTGTGTGATGCACTTATTGGCAGGGAAAGAGTTTACATTTTATATCAGGTATAGTAGCAAAGAATTTTCAAGGCAGCTCTGTGATTTCATCTGTTTTCATTTTAAAAACATCACTCTGAAGAGAAGCAAGATGGAAGCAAAGAGACCAGTTAGGGAGTAAGCTAGTCATTGCTTGGACTAGGTCAGGGTTTCTCAAGCTCAGCACTATTGGCATGTTAGGCTAGAACATTCTTTGTTGCTAGGGGCTGTCCTATGCACCACAGGATGTTAAGAAGCATAAAAGACAAGTGACACCCTCCCCTCCAATCAAAAATGTTTCCAGACAATGCTAAATGTCCCCTGGGGGACAAAACTACCCCTAGTAAAGAACTGCTGGACTAGATGCTGGCAGTGTGATGGGTTTGAAACACGCTGAAGAGATAGAACAGACACTACTTTGTAATGAGTGGGATATAGAGAGTGACAAAGGAGATGATCAAATATGCTTCCTAGGTTTCGGGTTGGAGAAGCTAGGTAGATGGTATCGTACATACTTCAGATTCTTGACATTGGTCTTCCCTTCCCTTGTGCCTGTTCTTGGAATTATCCGTGTACATGTAATGTTGCTCATCCCACCATTCTCTTCCTTTCTCTGTATCCCCTCTTGAAGATCCAATTTAAATGCCATCTTCTTCAAGCTTTCCCAGATTTGCCCACCAATGGTGACTTTTTTGCAGCAGATTTCTGCAGCTCCATATCAGCGCTACTCCTGCACACTTTCTGGCCCTGTCAGCTTCTGTAAACCCCAGGGAAGAAGCACCAGGGCCTACCAAAAAGAGCAGCCTTGGTGGATATTTGAATTGTCTGGCTTTGCTTCTGCACCTCACCTCTTCCCTTGGTTCCTATTGGTGGCTTGTAGGATTATCATCTCCCAGTATGCATTCTCTGACCCCCGGGACCATCATCTCTTATAGGCAAGCCCTCCCCTAGGCTTATCTGGAGTTTGTCTCAGAATTGGGATCCTTATTATTTGCTATCTTGTGTTACAGTTGTTAAGGTATATCAGCCATCTCCCTTTCAAATTACCTAAGAGCAAGAATAATACCATATACATCTGTATCCCCGACAATGCATACTGATCACAAATTTTGTATTCAGTAAACGTCTGTTGAATAAGAAAGGAAATGATTGGATCTGGAAGATTGACCTTATTTTTTTTCTCTTGAGTATGGAATTAAAAGAAAATTAACATTTTTCTATAATTAGCACACATAGCTTTTATAATCAGAAAAATGTGGACCTTTTTTAAACCAAAGATCAACCTGTACTTTGTTTTATGAACATAATCAATGAGTTTTTATATGAAAGCTAGCTTGTTTTTTGTCTCTTTGGCCGTTATACTTGGGACTCTTGTTGGTAACAGTATGTCTGCCCTGTTTGTGTGTTACAGCTCTGGTAGTAAGTACCACTTCAGCTGGATTTGCATTGGCTCCGGGCCCTTTTGACTTGCCCTGTTTCCTGCTTACTTCTATTGGGACAGGCCTTGCATCCTGCGCTGCCAACTCCATCAATCAGGTCAGTTTTTCACTTTTCACACTTTCTCTTAGATGGTTCTATTGTCATATTTTTAAAAACCTTCCAGACTCACATACAAGTAATGGAGAAGCACTTGTAACACTGTATATCCTATAGGAGTCTGTAGGTTTCATAACCAATGTGTCTTTTATTTTGAGATGAATGGTTTTCAGATATGTTCAGGTGAGAGAGCAGTAGAGTAGATGCTTCAAATGACTAGTATACCTTGAGTTAAAAAGTGTTTTTGAGCTGTCATAACTTTCTACTCTCAGTGGTATCTTTGTTTGTGCATTTCAGATACATTTTCCTGAGCAATATTATGTACTATTCTTTCTTGGTTGGATTTCTTTGCATTTTAAACTACCTCTATAAAGAACAGAATATATTTTAAATAGCATATTCAGCTTTTTTAAAAAAAAATCAGTAATTTAGTACTCAGTTAACTTGGTATATGGAATAAGATTATACCCCAAAATTAGCGTATTATTTTTAATACATGCCCCCTCCCATTATTTTAAACCTCAAAATAGTCCCCCAAATAGTTCTTTTACCCCGTCTTGTCATTGTGGTCTGCCCTAACGTTGTGGCTTTTTCATAAGATACTATAGTGAAAAAGTTTTGGCCAAAACTTAAGGAAAACATTTTCATTACCAGAACACCCAAGAGGAGCTGGCACGGTTTTAAAATAAGAATTCAACTTACCAGCAGGAAAACAGCTTGACTGAGTAGATATATAAGTTGCTAATCTGCAAAATATGTGAATTTAATGTGATAATGCCTACAGTCATTATGCTTCCACAGTATATTGTCAGCTATTTGTAGAAGGATCAATCTATTTCAAATAAGTCTTTTGTTGTTGTTTTTATTTTAGATATCAGAATGATCTTATAGTGAGGTTCAAATACTGTTACCACTTTACCAAAAGGGTCATCCCCTTCTATAAACCAGGACACCATCTCTTCCAAGTTGTTTCTTTCTTTTGCTACCTTGTCCTGTTTTCTGGCAAAGAGAATAAATGTGATTTCACCATGAACATATTTTTAATGAAAATGTGAATAAAATGCAATATAAGCCAAATGGATTTATTTGTCCATTTGGGTCTATTCTTTGTTATTTTTTATTTTTATTATTATTATTTTTTTTATTTTGAGACGGAGTCTCACTTTGTTACCCAGGCTGTAGTACGATGGCTCGATCTCGGCTCACTGCAACCTCCGCCTCCTGAGTTCTAGCGATTCTCCTGCCTCAGCCTCCCAAGTAGCTGGGACTACAAGTACATGCCACCACGCCCAACTAATCTTTTTTTTTCAGTAGAGGTGGAGTTTCACTGTGTTAGCCAGGATGGTCTCAATCTCCTGACCCTGTGATCTGCCCGCCTTGGCCTCCCAAAGTGCTAGGATTACAGGTGTGAGCCACCACGCCCTGCTATTTTTTATTTTTAAAAATTATTACCTCTGTTTGGTTATACATATGGGACCTAAGATTAAGCCATGAGCCATTCTAGTTTTCAGCCTCCTTTTCTTAAATTGAAAAGCCACATTTATCCTTGAGATACCACTTATCTCAAGGATTTAAATTATGTAGCTGCAAAGAAAATGTTTAAAGTATATGAACATTCAGAGAAAAAAATAACTAAACAGCATCAAGTGGTTCAGAAACTCCTAAACCTAAAAAAATAAGAGCTATTTGAGTTGGAGCTGCTCCTCCTCCCCTCTCATCCCACCCCTTTCTTCTCAAAAATAGGTAGCTAAAGAATTTATCATGGAGAAAAAAAACACAAAACCTCAGTTGTAGCAAGAAAGTATTTGGAAGAATAAAAATGGAATGATTCACATTTAGGCAGAAATTGACAGAAACTGAACATAAGCCAAGGTTTTGGAAATTTTAAAAGGACGTGTGTTTAGGTGGCTGCTTGATTTTTAGTCTGTAGAAGTATTTTTGTTATGGGGGTGAGTTGGATTCTATAAATTTAAAAAAAAAAAAAAAAAAAAAAAAGGAACAAGGAAAGCCGCAGAATGCATAATGGAATTTTTTCTGGTGCCGAAAAATTGCAGTGTCTGCCTCTTTACTCCTTAGGCTGGTTTTCCAGCCCGTTCCGCATCCCACTTAACACAACGCTCCTGATCTTCCTTTGGGATGCTTTGTCATGTTCCTCCATGTGTCACTCAACCCTCACAGGCCCCTTCAGTATCCTGAGTGATGTCAGTTCTTCATCAGTGCTTGTGGTACAAATGAATCTCTCCATCTTTTTGTACCCCTCATACTGCTTCCTTCCACTTGTCTCAGGCTCTGATTTCATTTGGAAGCATCACAGTACTTTAAAAATCTCAACAATTCCCAGAATAGTAGAATTCTGTGTTACTATTATGGCATCATCAGCTTCCCAAATTATAATATTTCCCAATAATGTTAGAGATATTTTAGCTCCAATGTTAGGTAATTCTTATAAATTTAAAATAAAGAAACGTGAAGCCATTTTAATTAGTCTTTTTAAATGGTGTAAGCAGAACAAAGAGCACTGGGCAGTAAGAGTTCAACAGAGTTTTTGAGTGGCATGTAAATAAATAGTCCTTAGCAAAAAGGAAGAGTTTACTACTCTTTTTAAGGGGCTAGTGTTCAAATTAAAAATACATATATGTGGTTGGTCTGTATAAGAGTTCTTCACTTCTAATAGAATTCTGTGGGAGAAAAACTTTCCTTCTGTTCATGTTTATAAAAAGATCCAGATTTTATTTATATTTTAATTAATACTTTCTTTTAGCAGTTATTCATTTAGTTCTCAGTATCCTTTGTACTCTACTTCTGTGATCTCTGTGAAAGTAGAAAAAATAAAGCTTGGAAAGCAGTTTTTACGTTTAAGGAGAGAAAATGAGATTCAGCTTCTGAATTACGAAGAAGTGACTAATGCATAAAGAGAAATGTATAAGAAACGATTAACATTAAAATGTTAAAGTAAATTACATACATATTTTGTAATATATAGACATGCTTCATTCAAAACCATAATGTGGCTTTAACGCACATACGCCTCCAAAGGATGAAAAAGTCCATAAAATGTTTTGAATTTTGGAACTGAAAGACAAAATGTTGTGGATGGTTTGACTGATCAAGTCTTGAAAAACAAGTAACAGACTGAATAGCTGAATTGACAAATTTAAAAAGATGAGAATTATCAGAAAATTATAACAATTATTTTGAGGATTTGAAATAATAGTGTTACAAGAAGCTGTAATTGGGATTATTTTACTTAGATTACATATGCATGATTTTTTAGAGTGGTTTTATCAGTCAATGTGTATGTCAGTAAATACATTTCTGCAGGATACATTTTAATGGTGACATGGCATTCCATTTTTTTTTGGAGACAGAGTCTCACTCCATCACCAGGCGCCAGGCTGGAGTGCAGTGGCACGACCTCGGCTCACTGCAACCTCTGCCCCCTGGGTTCAAGCAATTCTCCTGCCTCAGCCTCCCGAGTAGCTGGGACTACAGGTGCACACCACCATGCTCAGCTAATTTTTTTGTATTTTTAGTAGAGACGGGGTTTCACCATGTTGGCCAGGATGGTCTCGATCTCTTGACCTCATGATCTGCCTGCCTCGACCTCCCAAAGTGCTGGGATTACAGGCGTGAGCCACCGCACCCGGCCAATTTTTATATTTTCAGTTGAGGCGTGGTTTCACCATGTTGGCCAGGCTAATCTTGAACTCCTGACCTCAAGTAATCCACCCACCTCAGCCTCCCAAAGTGCTGGGATTACGGGTGTGAGCCACTGTGCCCAGCCATTATAGCATGATTTTAAGAGTTGTATTTGGATATACCTTGATTTGTTTAATCAGTTTCTCCTTATTTGACATTTTAGGGATATCTGGTTTTTGCCCACGTAAATGATGCTGAGCTGAAATTCTTTTAGCTAAATCTTTGCATATATCCTTATTTATTTTGATAATTTCTTAAAAGTATGTGGTCATGTCAAGAGATGATGAAGTTTTCAAAATAAAAAGTTAAAATTTAAAACAAAAAACTACTTTAAGTAAAACTAAATGTCTTTCCAGCCTTTGCTTGAAATCAACTTATAATTCTGTTTGTCAATGTGTTAAAGGGCTCATCACTAAGGCTGTGAATTAGAAAATCTTAGCTGGGTTTATAGGTAACATCAGAAGTGTCCTTTTAATTCAAGTTGTTTTGATGACTTACGAGGTGGAGTGTGTTTATTTTTTAGTGTTTATTGGCCATTTATGGGGTTTTTTTGGTCAGTTGTTTGCTAGTGAGTTTTGCCTGTTTTGCTGTTGAGATGCTTGTCTTTGTCTAAGAGCTACTGCTGTATATAGATTGCATTGACATATAAGGTGCAAACATTTTCTTCTGTTTTTGTCTTTAATGTTTCATAGCGCAGATGTTTCGTACGTTTTTGCAGTGAGATCTTTTTATTTGTAATACAATTGTAATACCGAAATTTTAATAATTTCTCATCAGCACTACTAGCAGTTTGGACGAGATGACTATCATCTGGGCTGTCCTGTAGATTGCAAAGTGCCTCCCAGCACCCCCACCTCTACCCACTGGACACTGGTGGCACTCCCCCACCCCCACTCATGGCAGCTGAGAATGTCTTCAAACATCACCAAATGGTCCCTGGGGCCCCAAATCACCCTCCCAGTTAGGAACCACTGCTTTGATAATTTCTACTTTTGATTTTTTATCTGATTTATAAATCTTTATGATCCTGGTTATAATTTCTGTCTCAGGCAAACGCTGGCCCACATTTCTTTTTGTTTAATTACCTGTAGATAGCTAGGGTGAACCTACGTCCTTCTTTATGCCTGTGTTCATGGCATAATACTAAGAATACCTCTTTTGCTTTCAAGTTTCCTAGTTTGGACAAGAAATTGTATGATCTTGCTATCCATAGCCCACCTGTGCCTTCCATCTTTCACTGTAAATGAGATGTAAAAATATCTTTGCATCAAAACAAATCTCATCTTGGGTTCTTTTTTTTT